TAGCCTCCTGGCACTGTAGGTGGGAATATTTTCTATACCTATGAATAGTAAATTACAAATGTTAAATCATATTCAATCTCAGAAGTAACTGTTCACAACTTCTCACAGCATAGATAATCAGGCAATTCTTGAGATGCTTCTCGTTCTAACCAGCCATTGCCTCTTTTCTGTGACACACTCTGAGTTACAACCTCATTTATCTGACCCCATGTCTGTGTATTTAACTCCAACCAAGTAGATGTGTAATCTAAGTTTTAGAGTCCTTTAGAAAAGAGCATATAACACGTGGTCTATTGATTAAGCTTTATATTTAAAACACATTTAGTTAAAGTATTAGATTCATAAATCATTAAAAAAATAAAACCAACATGAATATTCTTCCATGATCATGATACTGTAGAAAACCGCTGGACCGGAATTTTGAAAACCTAAGTCTTAATCTTCTTTTGCTTCTCATTTTTTAGAAAATAACATAATTTTTGGAAAGTAATTTCATTTTTCCTGGGGCCCAACTTATACATCTGTAATTTAAGAAAATTTTAATGCTTTTAGCTAGAGTTCCATTCAACATTAAGTAATAAAAATAATACTAAAGGCCCGATGCATGAATTTGTGCATGCATGGGGTCCCTCAGCTTAGCCAGCTCCCTCAGCCAGGGCCAATTGAGGCTGCAGGAGGTTGGCCAGTGGGGAGTTCAGGGGTGAGTTGGAGGGGTCGCAGGGTGTTGGCTGTGGGAGCACACTTATCACCAGAGGGCAGCTTCTCTATTGAGCATCTGCCCCTTGGTGGTCAGTGAGCATTATAGTGACCAGCTGTTCAGATGTTTGGTCATTCCATCAATTAGGCTTTTATATATAGAAATACCAACAAATATGTTTTCACATATGTGGATTTCCCCTGGATTTCTATACTAGATTCTCATTTCCTCTTCATAGTGGTAGGACAAAAAGATTTGAATAGTGTTGATTATGGGGCCACTTGCTCTGGGTTCCTGGACAATGGGCCAGCTGGGGAGTGCTTCCCACTTCTAGTCAAGGAAGTTGTACCCAAAGTGGCTTTCTAAAGAGGCCTGGCTCCCTCCTTGTTCCAGGATTTTCAGACAATGCTGGAGATAGCTGATCCCGATGCCAGCTGCCTGGAGTCCTAAGAGAAAGCTGCTCTCCTTGCACTATGTGAAGTGGGAGAAACAAGGGGTTCCTTGGAACATGTATCCTCGATGTATTCAGCATAATAGCTTGGCTCCAGCCTCTCTCTCTGAGGGTTGATGGCACTGGGGTCCTATACTTTTTCTTCCCTCGTTGACCCCTGATTTGTAAGGTTCTCCAATAAAGCCTATTCTCCAATGCTGCCATGGAATAATAATTTGACCTGAGACCTGCTGCATAGCAGGTGGAGAATAGAAAGAGACATACTTTTCAGTCTGTTTTCATACAGTCTGTTTTCATTCCTTAAGATTCATTTGGAATCATAATGAGAATTACACAATTAAGAATTGCAAACAGCTATGCATCTCTTACTGCACAATTTATAGAATGTTTTCATATTCTATATTCTATGTAATTCTCACAAACATATGACAAACCAAGATTTATTTCTATTATGTAGACAACAAATCTTAGTTTCAGATTGGTTAAAAGCCTCCCCATTTAACAGAAAATGTGGGTGGATATCAAGTCTTCCAGCCACAAGTCTTGCTCTTTCTCCACTGCTCCTGACAGTGTTGGAACACACCTCTAGAACCAACTATTCATTGCAACATATTGAAAGCATCCACAGAGTGAGACCTTTGCCAGGTGCTGGTGAATTCAAAGACTGATATGACATCACTGAAAGCTTTCTTTCTTGTGCCAGACAGGGAAGATAATTTTATTAGCTATTTAATAGAAACATATTCATTATACTTTTCAGTTTGCTCACAAAAGAATGCCTCTATCATAAAATGTTAGCCACATTTTATAAAAGCGAAGGGGTGAGGATGTGTTATCTGTGACTCAGCCAGAAAGAAACAAGACATTGGGAGTGTCCAAGTTGCTGAGGAACTGAAAATTTATGATCCAATCAGATTCTGCCGGAGGAGTGAGTTTGTGCATGCGTGAGGCTGCTTCTTATCTGTGATCTCAACTCAGGTGTGTTCTTGAAAATGTTTTCAGATGCAAATACATTTCTCTAAAATCTACATTTCTTATTGGCAACCCCACTAATGGTGTCTCTGTGAGTTTAGACATGACGTGATACTGGTGCCTCCAATTTAATATTTTCAAAGCTGCTCTCATCATCTACCTCCTCCAAGCTTTGTTCCTAGGCCTGATATTCGAGCAAGTTACCACTCCATTCCTGTCGGGCACCTATCCAGTCTCGTCTCTCTCTTCATAAATCATCATAACTATCAAGTCTTGCAGTGCTACTTCCAAAATATCTCATATATATTTCTTCTTCTCCACGGTCTTGCCTCCGATGCCTTTCAAGGGCTATCAGGACACCCTCATTCTCTCCCATCAAGCCTCCTCCAAAGAGCTCACTGAAGATAAATACATACTCTTACCACCTTAAAAAGAATAAAAGTTCTAATGGTATACTTCCTACATACTCAGCCCTACTATGGTTCTCTTTTCTTCTTCACATCACATTCCATATCTACTGTACAGACAGTTCCCCAAAAGATCATGCTTATTCATACCTCTACTTCAAGGCCACCTTTTAAGGGAGAGTGTGGCTGGAAAACTCTTCGCTATCAAGCATCACTCCTGTAAGGGCTTTCCTACCCTCCACTCCCTCTGTTATGCTTGAAATTCCTTCCACTGGCTTATTGTTATCCTGCAATTTCTTCATCAGAGCACTGATTTCCTCCGACTAGTTTTTGAGCATGTTGAGGACAAAGAGCATGCTCTATTTGTCATGGAATCTTCAGCACTTAGCATGATGTCTGGCCAAAATGAACTTAACTTGAATCCTCAGCACTTAGCATGATGTCTGGCCAAAATGAACTTAACTTGAATGTATGCACCAGATTTCCCTTTTCATTAATATCTCCACTTTCCTCTGTGGTAGGACAAAGAATTGAATGTTAGGTGACAGGACATTGAACCATCTGGGACAGAGCTCACACTTGTAGTCATGAAGGCTGCTCCCAATGTCAGCTTTCCAAGAGGGCTGTGAGTCAATATTGAACAGACAAATAAGGGTCTTGGAACTTCTTAAGAACGCACAACTATGAAAGTGTCAATAGACCATAAGCCAGAGCAGTTCTCGTTACTGTCATTCACGGTTTTATCTCACCCCTAGATGAATCCCTGGCACAGAAGACATAAATCAATATTTGTTAATTTAATTATTGACAGAATGAATGATTGACTGGCAATATGAATGAAAAAAAGTTAACTTCATTCAACTGTCCTTCTGATTCCACTTTCCCCAATCCCAGTCTTTATATAGATGTATAGATGTGTATGTGCACATATATCTTTTAAGCATAATTACAAATTGAATATCAGGATTTTTTCTTTACAAAGCGCCACAATTAATGAATAATGATAGCTATTTAAATACATACACAGAAATTCTAAGCCACGGCAATATATAGCCTCAGTAATCCATTTACTAAAAAATTAAAAATAAAATGTGGCTTTTGAAAGATAGGTTGACATCCTACCAAACAATGTATTAACTTTATAATCAGAATTAATTTTCAGTTAACTGTTTGAATAAACTTGTAAATTGCCTTCAAAATAGTGTAAAACAGAGGCAAGGGCATTTTGTCAAGTGAAAAAAACCGAAAGGCTGTGCTCAGTGCTGCCCTCCAGAGGCCGGGAGGGAACAGAGAGGGCCTCTTCCTGTCTCTGAAGCTGTGAGAAGCAGGTGCCTGCTGCCTGTGTGCCTTTGGGAAGAACCTTACTTAGGTTTCTGTTCTTCCACCTGAACTTCCAGGGCCTTTTTCACATGGAATGACAGCTGATTTTATCCTTAAAACTGACACAAACCTCACCATTCACTGTGAAGCAGGACAAAAGCCAAGAGAGGGATGAAAGAGACTCAAACTAGATCTTTCTCAAACTGATTTCTATTAGAGTTACACACAGTTCAAGGAATGAAAGAAAAGTAGAGCAGCCAGCACTACTGTCAAAGACAAGAGCAAAGAACGATTTTCCCTCCCCTCCCACACCCCCTTTTTGTGTGTGTGCAGCCACTGAAAGCAAACATTGCAGGAGGTAGACATAGTCACCATGGGCAACCATTTATAGTGGATGATCTCACCTGCTGCACATGGGCTTCATTGTTCCAAAGCACCTTGTATAACGTTCACCGCCTGCTACATGGCTCATTATTTTCCTCTCTGGATAATGTATGGCCACTTCAGTTATGTGAATGTCTATTTCTAAATGCACACCCTTGAAGCACTGACCTCTCTCTGCTTTTATATTTTTTTTTCAAAACACTCTTGACTTTTGTTAACTGGGTGAGTACCAAACTTTCTTAACCTATTATCTTATTACTAGAGGCCCAGTGCATGAAATTCATGTACTGGAGGTGGGGTTGGGGGAGGGGGGTGTCCCTCAGCCCAGCCTGCACCCTCTCCAATCTGGGACCCCTTGGCAGTCACACATACCTCTCACAATCCAGGACTGCTGGCTCTCAACCACTCGCCATCAGCTCCTAATCAGTTCTGTCCGACAGCCTGATCACTCCCTAACCACTTCCCTGCCAGCCTGATCGATGCCTAATTGCTCCCTGCTGGCCCGATCACCCCCCAACTGCCCTCTCCTGCTGGCCTGGTAGCCTTAATTGCCCTCCCCTGCTTGCCTGATTGCTCACAACTGTCCTCCCCTGCTGGCCATCTTGAGACCACATGGGGGTGGCCATCTTGTATAAGGGTGTGATGGTCAATTTGCACATTACCTCTTCATTATGTAGGATTCCAGCCCATTTCAAACTTACTTCCTCTCTAATTAGTGTGACTGAGAAGCACAGGAGAGGGCGAGCTCACTTGCCATGCCCACACTCACCACTGCTTGTAGTCCGCGTCACAGTTACAGTAGTATTTGGGGTCTGTGCAGTTGCGCTCGATGCCACAGGCACATTTCTGAATCCCAGGCCCAGAGCCTCCCCAGTAGTAGTGCTTCTCATTGGCTTTGCCAACCCACCAGGTGTAAGGACTTCCATCTGCAATAAAGGGGAAAGGCACGTTTAGATAGGAATAGGAATGGGTCATGATACTATCTCATTTTTCCCTCCTTCCCCATGAGCAGTGTTGCTCTCTGATAGATTGAACATCACTTAACCCTCTTAAAAGTAAATGCATTCCCATAAAAGGAATATTTAATTAAAAACAGCAAAGGGAATTGCAAGCTCAAGTTTTCCCAGCAAGATATGGTTACTGTCCTTCATTTTGGAAACTAGGAGACACTGACATGCCTGGTGGTGAAAGGAAACATCTGGAGAAGTGGAGTTAATGGCTGGTCTGGTAAGAAGCTCCCTTGCTCTGCCTGAACCTTAAATAATCAGTGAAAGGATATATCTCAGAACATCAACTCCATCTTGGATTATTTCTCCTAGTGACTAGAACAATCCAACAGTGTTAGTGTTTCATTACAGAGACTGATGGAAAATTGTACAAACCGAAGGAGCTGGTTTAGTATTCTTCATAAAAGTCAGTAAAGGAAGCAAGATAATTAGCAGCCTCTCGTTTAGTATGAGGCTGAGAAATGTGCTACAGGGGAAATGGAGAGAGGAGACAGCTGATTCCCACCAGCATCTTCTGGGAGTAGAAGCCCAGCAGAGAAATCTCCTTGTAAAGTTGCTTGTACCAGGGGTGCTCCACCAGGAGTCCTAAGCTCTGCATGGAATCCAGGCTCTGAGCTCATCTCACATGGCACACCCTCAGTTCCCTGTAGGGAGGGGGTCTTACTATACACCAGGACAGTATCCAAAAGGATGATATGCAATGACATTTTCATTAACTTCAAGGAGGTGACATACTATAGTGACCAGGTAAGAGTAGCCCAATTTCCCATTTCTTCCCCCCATCTCCCCACCTATTTCTTAAATCAAAATACTTTTAGTCTTATATACCTAATGGTCCCAATTAGGATGAGGCAAAATCAATACTATTTTGTTTTCCTTCCTGGGAAAAGAAGTTAAGTGCAAAATCTATTCCCGAGCTGTTTGCTCATCTGCTGTGAGCAGAAGAATGTCAATCAGACAAATATAATCCAGGGGAAGAGCAAATTGTATGCTTTGTTATTAGCACTGGATAATATGGTTAAATTAAGTCACTATCACCAAAATAAATTATTAATTTGGTGTATATTTTGTGTTCAGCAAGAAGAGAAGGATTCAATTTGCTGTGACCAGAGAATTGCTTTATTCCAGTGCTATGCTAATTAAGTTGTACTTTTTGCTTTACTAATCATTATTTACCTGCTAATTGGCTTTGGGGGAAAGCAGTTCAAGTCGATAAAAATGAAAAGATTTTTTTAAAGACAAGAATATGAAGTAATTAGAAAAGAAATAATTTACTTAGTGCCAAGAGCTCAAAAACTTACCTTCAGAATATGATGATGTCTGTTAACTATATTAAGTAGGGGTAAATATTAGGACAAGACTAGGTTAATGATGAACCATATTCTAAGTTAACTAGAGGCTGACTTATCAAAGGTATATTGTATTAAAAGAGCCAAGCTTAGATTGAATTAAATATAACCACTATACTGCTTGTTCACAAGATTAGGCTTTATGGTGGTGAAGGATTTATTATGGTTTGGATGATTAAATTGAGAAAGGGGAAAAAAAAAGAGGCTACTTGTTTCCCAAGACCAAAGGAACCAATAGATCTCTGTTAATTTTTTTAATAACAAGTTGTTCCAGAAACACAAGGGCAAATGTGAGGGACCTTTTGTTGGAAATATAGTTCATACCTGTGCTTTGCAAAATATGTCTTTGGGCCTTCTGGGCTACAAAAAGTAACTTAATAATTTTCTTAAATAAATATTTCCTTGATACAGTCTATGATGAGACCCAGTATGGTCACTTGGACATTTAATTTGTTCTATTCGATCAACTTCTAGAGGATATTAAAAATAATACCACGAGTGTTTATAGTTTCCAAAATGAAAACTTAAAAGCATCATTTTAGTTTAATAAAATCTAGTTTTATTATACCTACTACTACCTAGTTACTACAAATTCCGTTAACTTAGCGCAGGTGGGGGGGGGCTTTTTAACAGAGGAATTAGAACAAGTACAAAAGCAGCAGAAACCTGCCTTTCAACCCTCTGCTTACTGCTCCCTGCTGGGAGCTTCCTTACAGCCTTCCAGGACTCCTGTGGTCTGGCAACCTCTGGTTGTTTGGAGCCCCTCACAGGGCAGGATTTTCTTTCTAAAGAAATGACTGCATTCTGAAAAGTCTCCCATTTCTGCTTCCCTTTCATTTTTACCATGACACTACCAATTTTTTTTCCTCCTCTTTATCAATCTGATTATAATACTCCAAGGTATAAATGGTAATAATATTCTTACTAAGTAAAAAGATTTTTAATTGGTGTAAAAACCAGTAGCGATTGTAGCTGATTGACGAGGAGGTAGCTGGAGACTCAGGCAGTTCCTCCTAAAGGGGCCACACATGGACTTATTTGGACTCACTCCCTCTGAGTTCCAGCACTGGGGTAGTAATTTGAAAGGATCCAGAGACATCTAGAGAGTAACTAAATTGTCTGGCATCAAGGCAAGAATGGGAGGGGGGATAACTTTCTCCAATATAAAAATAGTGGCAGAGGTCATTGTTCTGCTGCTGAGACCTCCCCTACCCTCAAATCCCCATAGAGCTGACTGGCAGGTGCTATATCTGAGTCTTCATCAACCTGACCCAAGCTGTATGCCCTGCCCTGGTGATTCTCTGAGAACCCACCCAATTTATAGCCCAACACAAGATGTTTATAGTAGCTTTTCCATATGAATAGCCCATCCTGCTTCAGGTTTTAGACTTTACTAAAATCTTTCAAACAACTAGCAGCTGTACTCAGCATGTTCCATAGCTCTCAAAAAGTGGCCCCAGGTCTGGCATTAGTAGCAGCTTACTAAGGTTTACAGTTTGGCCTCCCCTGGGCACCTCCAAGCCCAACACAAATAGCATCCAGCTGCAGATTTCTCTGTAGCTTGTGCCAGGTGGCCCCAGACAGAGCATAGGTAGTGGCTGACTTTGCACCTCCCCGGAGGCCCCAGATCCAGTGCGCCCACTGTGCCCAGTGGACATCTTTAGACTATGACAGATTACATCTATAGACTATGACACACTCACGGATGAACTCGGTGAGCACCAAAGTCCCACTAAAGCAAATCCTGCCTCATAGGGGTATCTTCTGGACAACAGCTCTTCCACTATAGTCACAGGTGATCCTCACAACCAATTGGCCTGGAGCAAATTTCTCCAAGTTATGTCAATAGCAATCAAGGCTCAACTACAACAGGACAGTGTACACAGCCCACACAGAGGCATACCTAGAGTATCTAGTTATGATGAGTGGGGAGGCTTAGCCTTTGGGCCCTACAAGACACCAACTACACAAGGCCACTCTACCAATTCCAGGAGCCATATCAGTTGTACCTAACACATAGATACAAATACAAGGGAAATAACCAAAATGTGGAGGCAAAGAAACATGTCACAATGAAAGTTCAGAAGAAATATCCAGAAAAAGAACTAAATGAAATGGAAGTAAGCAAACTACTAGATACAGAGTTTAAAACAACGGTTATAAGGATGCTCAAGGAACTTAGTGAGAATGTCAAGGGACTTAGTGAGAATTTCAAGAAACTTAGTGAGAGTATCCAAGACATGAAAAAGGACCAGTCAGAAATGAAGGATATACAAACTGAAATGAAGAACAATTTACAGGGAATGAACAGGGGAGTAGAGAATCAAATCAGTAATTTGGAGTAAAAGGAAGCAAAAAAACACCCAATCAGAAGAGCAAAAAGAAAAAAGAATAAAGAAATATAAAAATAGTGTAAAGGAGCCTCTGAGACAATTAAGTGTACCAACATTTGCATCATGGGGTACTAGAAAAAGAAGAGAGGGAGCAAGAAATTGAAAACCTATTTGAAAAAACGAATGTCAGAAAACTTATCTGGTGAAAGAAATAGACTTATAAGTCCAGAGAACATAGAGAGTCCCAAACAAGATAAATCCTAAGACACATCTAAGACACATCACACTAAGACATATCATAATTAAAATGCCAAAGGTTAAAGACAGAAGGGTTGAAGGGTCTTCTTTAAGAAGAAGAATAAAAATAAAAAATATGAACAAGTCAATAAATACATATCTATCAACAATGAATCTAAAAATCAAAATAAACAAGTAATTGAATGAACAAAATAAACTTATGAACAAAATGGAACTAGAAGCATGGAAACATGGATCAGACTGACAGAGAGAAGGAAGGAGCAGGGGAAGGGGAGAGGCAGGAAGAAATGAACTAAAGAACTTATATGCATATATGCATTACCCATGGACACGGGCAATAGAGTAGTGAAGACCTAGGGTAGGGTGACATTCAGGAGGAGGAAGACACTGGGGAGAAAAAAAGGAGGGGACATCTGTAATACTCTCAACAAATAAAGCTAAAAACATTTTTCTTTTTCTTTTTTTCTTTTAAAAAAATATATTTTATTGATTTTTTACAGAGAGGAAGAGAGAGAGAGAAAGTTAGAAACATCGATGAGAGAGAATCATTGATCAGCTGCCTCTTGCACACCCCCTACTGGGGATGTGCCTGCAACCAAGGTACATGCCCTTGACTGGAATCGAACCTGGGACTTTTCAGTTCTCAGGTCGATGCTCTATCCACTGAGCCAAACTGGTTTCGGCAACTAAAAACATTTTTCAATTTTTTTTTTTAGAATAATCATTCTAACATTTTTTTGTAAATTAATTTTACTATTTACATCAAAAACTTTAAAAATAAAATTAAAAATCATATATGTAAACATACAGCTACAAAAGATTGTATCTCAAGCATCTTATAAAGTTTTGTGAAATCATCTTTTCCAAGTGGGTAAATGATATTCTCACTTGTTTCCCAACCATCTAATACCATCTAATTCTATGTTGTTCTATGTTAATGCAAAGACCAAACAGAATGAAATCCAAAAAGTTTTGTGGA